CAAACAACAAACAACAAACAACAAACAACAAACAACAAACAACAAACAACAAACAACAAACAACAAACAACAAACAACAAATAACAAACAACCAACAACCAACAACCAACAACCAACAACCAACAACAACAACAACAACAACAACCACGACGGTGACGGCGACGGCGACGGCAACAACAAGGGCAACAACAAGGGCAACGACAAGAGCAACAACGACAACGACAAGAATAGCATGGTCAACAATGAGGACCATATCGCAATGACATATGTGAGTGTAGCCAAAGCAGTCTTCATAAACACTAAATCCAGGTTTAAAAAGAACATTGAAAACAGAGATATAGTAAGTATGTCCAAAAAGGCCCGAATGAAATAGCTTCAGAATTATCGTGCACACGGTTATGTATGGAAATCCAGAGGCCGGGAAGAAGCCGAATGTCATGGTTGCAGGACAGAAAGACCATAGCACAAACCACGATACAAATCTTCTTTCAAAGAATGATAACTCACAAAGTCCTGCAGCACTGATGCGAGAACTTCTTTGCCACTTGCTGTAGTATCAATAGGCTGCGTGCGTCTGCACGCCGTTGAGCAGGTCCAAGGCATGGAGCAGCACAAAACGTTTTCGGTTTGCGGCCACTGTAGACAGGGGTCCAACCTCGGCTCGCGCACTGATCTTGGCGACGGACTTGCGCAAGTCACGGGTAATGCGCAGCAACACGTGTGGCGGATGCCGGCGATAGGCCTGCACATATGGATTGTCAGAAAGATGGAGCATGTAGTCCAACTCTGCAAGAATTTCAGGTTGCAGGCCTGGATCTCGTTCGATCGGGCGCTGCATCGCTTCTTGTGAGTCATATAAATAAAATTGAGCGAACTTGGGCTCAGCTGAATCAGTGGCACCAAGTAGAATGGTCTTCAAAAAGAGGTTGATTCCTTGTTTCTTGACTTGGGAAGAAACAAGGAATCAACCTCTTTTTGAAGGCCATTCTACTTGGCAGCAACTATGTTGTTCCAGTGCCAATGATGTTTGTGTTGCACGTAAGGGGTATGAGTGGTGATATACAGCACCATGCACAATGCAAACTGGTGGCGCTGAAGTACCAGACTGTCCGACTTTAATTTCTAAGTTTGCCCCGAAAGACACACAGCTCATAGCGGCATTGTAGCATCGAATTTTCTGGCGGAATAATGTTCCACGTTGATCCGTTCGGGTCAAACAAGACCGTAAGGGCTCAGGTACATCACTCACAGGGGGCAAATTAGCGGCTTTGCCATTCTTGCAGCACAATGTAAACTTGCCAGTGGTATTTTGCTCTGCTGCCAAATACAAAGCCCGACAGTGTACACACCTTTGACTCATCTGACCAAAAGCTAAGGTCGGAGTACGAGCATATGCATTGTCTTCTATAGCCACTGATTTAGAACTGGCTGCTGGCACCGGGCATCCACGCTGCATATCCGGGTCGCTACGCAGGCGCTTTGCAGCACGGCTCTGCACAGCCAGAATAGCGTGGAACTTCCGGCGCTGTAATTGCGGCAGTTGTTGCTTCGCATGGTGGGTGCAGAGGCCCTGGGCACGAGCATATACCGCGCACCCTTCGGGCCACTGGCACAATCTACGGGCTTGTTTGTTCCCCCGGAATGTGGTCCAGGGTCTGTATAGACTGTGAGTGCACTTCTTGGAGCGCAACAGCGAACACCCATGCGGTCTACACCAAGGGCACCACCGCGGGATTAACATGACTAAAATGTTTAAAATTCTTTGAATTTCAATATTTATTTGGTAATATTTTTTATTTTAGTTTAATTTTTTTAAAAAAAAGCTAGGAATTCAAGTTTTTAGTTTATCCTAATTAAATTTCTTGTTATTTTATATAATATGCAATAATTTGTATTTATTTTGTATATTTAATGAGATAGGAGCATATATTTTTAATAATTAATATTTTTTTTAAAAAAAAACATAATTTTATTATATTAATATCAAAAATATTCAAAAAAAACAAAATTGTATATTATAATGAGAGTTACAACTACTTTAGATTTTGATATAAGTATAGTAATAACTATAATTGCATTACAATTACAACTACTATAACTACAATTACAACTACACTGCAACTACCACTACCACTACCACTGCCACTACCACTACCACTACACAACAGCACCGCTACACTACAACTACACTGCAACAAGAACTACTATAGCAACAACTACAACTACAACAAGTACAAGTACAACTACCACTTCAACAACTACAGCTGCAACTACCACTACACTAGAACTACAAATGCATGACACTACACTACATCCAGCAGTTGTGGGTGGTGTGACCACTGCAACCACTCCAAAAAGCACAATTCCAACCACCTTTCGGTCCATCAGTGGATTCGCTCTGCCTTCCATGTAGTTTCCTATCTTTGAAATTTCCGTCACCGTCTTGCACGGTACTACTGGTATTTTTATATTAATTATATATTATTTATGTAATAAATAGATATATAAATAAGAAATTCAATAATTAATATTTATAAATCCAAATATGTGTTAACTTAATAGTCGGTTGCTAAAATCAGCAGGTGGATTCTAGCAAATGATATATATATATATAATACTTATCTTTCAAGAAATATATTTGCCTAAAATATGTTTTTCGGATAATTTTGGAAATATGTTTAATAAATGTAGTTTGATAGTGTTTGAAAAAAATATCATAAGTTTATTATCTCAGAAGACTAGATATCATATATGTTGGAACTGATTGGCGATAAATGTATTCGTATCCCGTATCCCATTAATTTTATTGAAATCCGAAGAAATAACACAGACATGTATAGATATGTCATATTTTTTCCAGGATCAACCAGCAATAACCAGAAATCGGCAACCAGCCAGAAGCGGCGTCATGAACATAAGTTTCTCAATGGCAGTATGTATAGATTCCCAAGTTATTTCCCGGGTAAAGATTGTCTTACATTATATGTAGCAGCTGTTTTTCCCTGATAATTAATAATCATTGAATCAAATCTATCCAACATCGACATTCTTCAATAACTTTATATGTTCTTTGTTTTTTGGCGATTGTGCGAAATGGATAAAATAAATCTATGCCAGACTTATCCATTGGGAGATCTTCTCATCCAATGATCTTATCCAAGAGTTTGAGTATGGCCCACCGAGTGAAATCTCAACCTTGGGCCGAATCACGGGCGCACGGGATGTCAACCGCTTCGGTTGAAGAGTGAAGCCAACCCCAGATGGGTTAGGCAACTGAAAATAGGATGATATACATATATCTATATCTATATATATATATATGTATGTATATATTATCCCCATTCTTTCCAGTTGTGAATCATCATTTTGTCCTATAACCACAACCGGGGAGCCTTTCAGAAGCGCCCAAAAATAGGGATAGTCGACAAAAACGTGTAAAACAATCAAAGACTGTGGATCACAGTGCCCCCAAAGATCTTGAACCGTTGCTATATCCATCGCACCCCGTGCAGATCTCCAACGGACTTCGGATCTAAATCTTGAGTTCCCAGTCCCCAACGAAAAAAATGGGGGATTCCATAAATGGTGTGTATCCCCAAATGGATGGATGGTCTATTTCATGGAAAATGCCATTCAAATGGATGAGAACTGGGGGTATCCCTATTTCAGGAAATCTCCAGATATTCATAGATATTCATAGATATTCATAGATAGCCTGATACCCTCTGGTAGTTTAACATAGCTATTGAAAACGGCCCATTTATAGTTGATTTACCTTTTGACAAATGGTGATTTTCTAGTTCGCTATGTAAACGTTTACCAGGCCGGGTATTCATCGACATTCCCAGTGTCATTGATCCAGCAGAGAAGAAACCAAGTTCCCACATCAACATGCATGGGATATGATACAAATCATTCCATTGACCATATGTCAAATACATTCAAATACTATATCCCAAAGAATCAACAGTTTGATTTAATGGGAGATACATGGGGATTGATAATTGCTAATTATGTGTATATATATATATATATATATTCATATATATATATATTCATATATATATATTCATATATATATATTCATATATATATATATATATGTATATTCATTCATATATACATAATTATATTATCTGGATAAATTATGATCATTACTGAAAATGGTGTGTTCCACAAGTCAGTAAAGAAAAGCCAAGGATTTCCCGATGGCCCTGCTGCCAGCCAAGTCACACTTGCGGCTGCATCTGTTGCGCGACCTACGAGTGGGGGTGGAAGTTTATCAGGCGTTCATGAAAATCGAGCATCAATCCTTTGGGTTTTGTTTAATATGTATATATATATAATTATATATAATTATATATATAATAGTAAGGTAATAAGCAAGTAATTTGCAAGAAATCAGTGGGTGTTTAACTTAAAATTCGTTGGGAGGACCCATGAAAAACTGGTCGCTAAAGGTTGATCACCCCTTAGATCCCCGGCCTGGTTTCTACGGATCTCCAACGTTGGAGCTTTAAGGGTGACCAACGGCAGGACAACCACCGCTTAGTGATTGAAACCTCCATCCCAAACATCGGAAAATCATCAAGTACAATGGAAAACTTGGAGAACTTCAGTGGATTTTGATGATACCCTCTGGCAATTTAGATGCCATTGAAAGTCCCGCAACTCAATGGCTGAATAGAGGTTTAGTTCGCTGGGAAAATCATCGAACTAAATGCTGGATTTGCCATTGCCACGTTTGATTACTGGAGCGTAACCAATGCTTCCCCCTTAGGCCCCTTAGGATTCCTTACCATCTGCTTTTGTAGAAATCCGTGACAAAAATGCTCGGGATGCGCGTCCCCAACCGATTGGCAAATAACCCAATGTCATGTTGTCCATTTGCTGGTGAAATGAATACTATTGTTGGTAAATATCCTCAAGTTCGAATGTTTGATTTCCCAATCATTCAACCATGGAAAATGTGGATATGATAGAGATGTGTTCAGGGAAAAAAAAAAACATCATTCCATGACATGTGAATTCCGGCTGAACTATAAGCATTCACCGACCTATAAACCAAAAATTAAGGAGTTGACCTTTACTAACCACATCTACGTCGTGACATCTGAGATCCCAGTGGATCACCCCCCTCCGGATCCACCTGACCCGCATAGGAAGGGTAGGCCGGCATGTAGAGCCTGGACCCCAGGGGCAGTTCGAAACCTTCTTCTGGGGTCCCAAGATAGAAAAGGTGGCGATCTACTTGGACCCCTGAAAGTCGGGTACTATATCGATGCAGCAAAGGAACATCATGGCTAAGTAAAAATAAACAGAAACAAGGCCCCAAAAGACATGCCGGGAAGATATTTCTTGAGTCGGAAATTGCATTGTCTGGCTTCGATGTTGGATAGCAACTGAAGATGGGGAGATAAGTCTGTGGATAGGGACGAATCTATCCTCATATTACCACTATATTCCCATTAATAACCCACCTAACCCCATATACTCATGATATTCCCAATTGATATTCACAAAAATATCCATACTGCAAGGTTTAACAAAACCACCGAACGGTGAAGATCCAGTCCATCCAGTTGGTCTCAACTGAACCTTGTCTCCTCTATCTCTACAACCAACGGACCTGCCTCATCGTTCGGTTCAAATTTGATACCCTTCTCCAGAATGTGTAGTGTGGGATGTGCGGTCAACCTAAAATAAATATTAAGTTTCAAAACATCGGAAACTTAAATTGATTTATAAAACACATAATCATATATAAAGAACTAAAATTCATAGTGATTGTATTCAACTACTGTCCAGAAATCAAACATGGCATGCTTGAAACTCCCCCCGTTTGGTTCGATGACTTTCTAATTACAACCTCCATTTTGCTCGGGAATTTCCGAGCCATGTTTGATTCTAAAAATCCCGTTATGTTCCCACTAAATCCCCTTAAATATCCCCTTAAAAATCCCATTCCATTCCCATTTCATTGAAGTTCCCATGAAATCCCGTCAAATGCCACGATATCACCCATTTCTTCCCTCAATGGATTTTTTGAAAAAAAAACAGGACAGCCGGACTTGCATCATGGGAAAATCGATGCTTTCCTTTTCCCTTAGACTACCCTCTGGTAAAACAAACAGTTTGCTAACTGGAAAATGGCCATAGAAATCGTTGATTTATCCATTCAAAATGGTGATTTCCCATAGTTATGTTAGTTTACCAGAGGGTAATCCATTGTTTCGCCACAAAGTCACCATTTCTTACTGGTTCAACGTTCATGTTTTCCTTCATCTTTGACACCGCCCAGCGCACGGTCAGCAATTATGCCTACCTTGGAGTGTTGGTGGGCTCGGCGACCGAAGCCACGCGAACCTGCATCATGGAGATTTAACCGAGATTTCATGGTGATTTAATGGGGATTTAATGGGATGTTGATGTTACTAATCAACAATATGAAGTTGATATACCCTCTAATTTCAAGATTTTTGGGATTTCGCCACGACTTGGGCAGTTGGGAGTATGTTAAATAACCAGGTCGGGTATCCTCTGGTAATTCGAGACATAGCGAACTGGAAAGATCCACCATGGGACCAATGTTAAATGACCCGAGGGTAGGTTCATGCAAGGTGGGAAGCCAAAAAAGGTGGCCAAGTTGGTGTATAACTTGAAGAACTATAACCAGTTTCAAACTATAACCAGTCTTAATCAACCATGTATCAAACATGACAAACCATTATCAACTATATCACGCATCGTTATTACCCATGATTATCTAGTATTATTGTTAAATAGTATGGTCATCAACTATTGTTGATATAAACTGTTATTATGCTTGTCAACTATTATCAATATTAATTATCATCATCAACTATGATTCATATTTAGTATGAATCATGTGTATCTGTGTTCACAGTATTAACTATACTTATTGTTTACCATATCAACTATAGTTGAATGCAAACTAACTGTTATCAAATATTGTCATCATTAACTAACTACTACTATCGTCGTGTCATTTGAACTACCACCTGACTATCAACTATTTTTGATATTGACTAAAACCATTAAGATTATCAATTATCATCTATATTACAGAAACTATTATCATCTTTAACTCATGATCGACTAGTGTGATTTATGGTTATCAACTATTGACTATTGTGTATATCAACGTATCATTATCATTCTTATTATCAACTATTCTCCACAATTCACTATCATTTTCTTATTGGTTGTATTGATTAAAGTTGAGAAATCTATATATTTATTATGCTTATCAACCCTTTCTCCAATATCGACCAATCAAGTAATCATGAGCTAAAAATAGTAACAATACTAACAATACTAACAACAATACTAATAATTAACTATGACTATAACTAATACTAAGTACTAACTATAACATACTATAACTATAGTATATAATTAGTATACTGATAACAATACTAATAGTACTATATAGTAACAATACTATCCATTCAAACTAACATATACTAACATATACTAACTAACAAAAGTACTATAACAATACAGTACTAACATATACTAACTATACTATGACTGGTATCATTCACCATCCATTCCCCAAGCCCAACATCTGCCCACCGTGCGGGGCGTCAGCACCGGCGCGGGTGCCAGTGCAGGGCCCAAAACCTGCGGACCTCAGCGACAGGTCCAGTGGAATAACAGTGGTTAGTAGTGGTTAATCTAGTGTTAATAATGGTGGTTAATGGTGGTTAATGGTGATTAACAGTGGTTAATAGTGGTTAATATAGTGGTTAATATAGTCTATAGTGGTTAATGGGTGTTAATAATGGTGGTTAACAGCCATTAATGTTGATTAACAGTGGTGAATAACCATTAAATGATCATGATTAACAGTGGTTAATGGTGGATAATAGTGGCTAATGGTTGGGTAATAAATGTTAATAATGGTCAATGGTGGCTAGTAATGGTTAGTCACGGTTAAGTTATTGTTAACTCTTAGCCAATAATTAACTATAAATAATAGTGGTTAATTAATGTGGAAATTATGGTCAATTTATAAATGTTAATACTGGTTCGTAGTGGTTAATAGTGGTGGTTAATAGTGATTAACAGTGGTTAATGGTTGTTAATGAATGTTAATGGATGTTAATAATGGTTAATAGTGGTTCAACCGTGGTTCATAGTGATTCAGATAAGTTTGGTTAGTGGCTAATGATTCAGAATGACTACTGGGGATGTTATAGGGATGTAAACCAAGGAGAAAGGGACTATCCCGACTTAAGTGACTTGATTATCCAAAAATTGGATTGTGTTCATCCCTTCCCCAGTTAATACCGGTGAACAATGGCTAATAATGGCTCATAATTTCTAAGAATGGCTAATAACGAGGATTTAACCGTGATTTAACCACTAGAAACGAAACATAAAAGATTTTTAGACGGAATCCGTGGGGATATCCTAAGGGACTTAAGCATCAGAGTGGCACTTCACCGAAGTTGATAAGGATTTGACCAACTGGGGAGTTGACCAATCGCTATAGATGGGGATTGATAGGGATGGTATATTGATTTTACAGGGATATGGCATAAATATAGCCACTAAAATGGGGTTCAACCGAAAAAATTGGAATTGAACCTACCATCTTTTCGGGATTTAACCACCATAAATTGATGAATCGATATGAATCGATAGTTGGTTTGTGATCGCTAGGTTGGCCCATGTCACTAAAGTGTCACTGTCATATTTTTAGGTCGGATATATAGAACGAATGGGATTGAATCCCCAAAAATGTATGTAATGGTGACTGTTCTTTGATTGGATCGGGATATAGGCATGAACCAATTATGGTTCATGGTGTTTCTGAAGCAACAAACACCACTGCCCATGGTTTTAACATTCTGAATCTCAGGGGCTTATCATGAGCTGTCAAGCCTGGATTCATGACGCCCCAGTTTCCTTATTCGCGGATCCCATTTCATGGCATCATCTTCTTTAGGGGATACACCTCTAATTACTTAGAGTTCATGTGGGGTTGGCATTGCCCATGTTTTTGGTTATATTTTAGATATAGCACCATATATGATATATGAATCTACCATGTCAGTATCCCATACTGCTGCATTGTTCTTCCATTTTCATCGACCAGCCCCAAGCATCTTCCGTTTCTGAGCTGACTGGCTACAAGTAGATGAGCTGATTTTGGACGGCTGTGCTGTCTCCACCAGACCCTGGATCACCCCACGTCACCAGGCTCCCATCTGCCAAAATCGCAGCAAACGCATTCCAGGTGGAACAGAGCTGCGGAATGTCACGAAGCCGCTTTGGAACAGCTTGGTATGAAATATCGAGAGGATCCAGAGGATCTGCGATGAGTGTGCCATCAGCCAAAATCGCAGCAAAAGAATTGGGTGTGGAGCAAACCTCTTGGAAATTCTGAGGGTCCGTGAATCTCAATGTGCTACAACCACCTGTTTCATGGTCCCAAGAAACAACTGCTGTATCACCAAGGATCGTAGCCAAACATACCGTGCGGCATAAATCTGCTCACCGTGAGCTGCTCAGGAAGTTGGAGGACGGCCGCGTCACCAACGAGTTCTGGAGACCCCCATGCAGCCACTGTGCCATGTTCTTCGGCGCCCCAGGTCACCACGGTTCCGTCTGCCAAAAGTGCAGCAAAGGCACTCGCTGTGGCATAGATCCGCTGAACGTTCCTGAGCTGATCCTGAACTCCGCTGCTCCCACCACCACTCTCTGGATCACCCCATGTCACTACAGCTCCATCTGCCAAAACTGCAGCGAAGGGGGCAAATATTGCAAAGGCAACAGGCCAAATATGCAGACCGGAGTCTGCACTAAGACGCTGCCACCAAAAAGAAGCCCTTAGGCAATTCCTCTGTATCGTTTGTCAAGAAGCTTTTGGCGCACTTTCCCCAAATGGGCAAGCACTGCTTGATCTGTTCCTGGATTGCGGCCCATTGGCCAGCCTAAAATTCTCTGAAAAGCATCATTGGGACGGCGGGGCCTGCTGGCCGAGAATGCCGGGCAGTACCAAGCAGCATGGTCCCAGCATGGAATTGCACTTGGATGCTGGCACCAAGAACAAGGCTGGATGGGTCTGCGATACATCCGATCCAATCGCGCATCTGAAACCACTGCGCCCATCATGACTGCCTTAGCGTGTGTATCAAATTCTCGAAACAACTGCCTCGCAGCAGCAACTCTAGATTCTGCATAAGGAGGTGTACCAATGGCCTGCGCATCTCTGCGTGAGCTACCCAAAAAGTTGGCAAACAGGATGCGTCTCCAAGATTCTCTCAGCATATGTTTTTCTACATCAAGTTCTGCTGTAGACACACGGCCCGACCAGCGGATGATGCCACGGGCGCCAAGTGCATGGCAGCGCCAATGAAATGGACCTTCCTCGATCCAACCCAGGTCTTCCAGCCAGCCTCGGACAGTGCCAAGCCATGTGCCTCTGGTGGGGCTGCGAGGCCATTGGCGAGCACGTTTCCGTACCTCAGCAGCCAGATACAGATATGCTTGCATGCCAGCAACAAACTCAGCATTCAGGCCGTGCCCGGCCAAAATGTAAAACAAGTCAGTGGATGCTTGAGGATGTTCACAACCTGCTGTTCTTTTGACTATGCTAGTTAGACAACGCACTTGGCTCAAGTTGGTCCAACAGCCCCAAGCAGCTTTAGGGATGGCGATGGACGCCACATGTTGGGCTTTGAGATGCATTCCAACTGGCAGTACTGCAATCCGTTGCAGTCGAGACTTGGTCACTCTCAAGCGTTCTTCTGAAGTTTTTCGGTCCGAAGCACCGAGGCGGGTTGTGAAATCAATGCCCAAAACCCTGGCTGCATTTGTGACATGATGCTGTGCAAAGCCTTGTGCCACAAGCTGAGCTTCATATGCAGCCCTCCGGGGGAATACACGTGCTTTGCTGTCATTTTCCCACAATCCCAAACGCGATGACACCTGTTGCCAGGTTTGCCATAAGCGAAATGCTTGCTGGGGATCTCTTGCAATCATGTTTCGATCATCAAGGAATGTGGCTAAACTGAAAAGCTGGGGCTCACGGCGGAGCACAATCTTGGTAATTCCTGTCATCAAAGCAAGTAAAGTCAGGGGACTGGTGGCATCCCCTTGTGGGAGTGATGTACGCACCTCTATAGGCCCCGGCATGTACTCACCATTGTAGGTGAGCCACCGTGACTGCTGCCATACAAATTTCAACATCTGAAGCATGGGAGAAGGACAACCGAAATGCCGAAGACAAAGAATACCCAGCTCAGGATCAACTGTGTCAAAACATTTTTGAAAATCTAAGCTCAGCAAAACCCCTCCTTTTTCAAATTTTTGAAACAACATGTCCACTGCTCTGGCGACTCCTTTCCCGTGAATACCACCACATGCTGTTGGATGGACCCAGGAAAGTATCCATCTGCGAGTTGCGGCTCTCCTGGTCCAAGCAGAACTAACTATTCGCCAAATAGTGCACTGGATGGATATCGGTCGCAAATCCTTCGCAGATATGGCCTGATCTTGTGTGCGCAATTTCGCGCCCGGTTTCTGCAAGTGTACCTGTCTGGTATGTTGCCAAACACTTGGAAAATCTTGGCGTGCAATCCATCTGGTCAGCAGTTCGGCCAAGATTTCCCAGGCACGGAGCGGCAATTGTGCCGCTTCGGAACCTGTTATCCCATCTGCTCCACCAGCTGAGCCCTTCATTCTGATTGCTTGTCTGTGAAGTTCCTTAGGTGTGAGGTTTGACCAGGCATATTCCGGCATGGGCTCACTGCCTTCCTGCCAAAACTGAAAAGCTTCCTGCACGGGCGGCCTGTCTCTTTCCCAGATAGTCTTCCAAAACTGCGAAATAGCTTCAAGAGATTGCTGATTCAAAGAAGTGGCTGTATTGTCCTGGTATCCTTCAAAGTGCACCGAAGTGACTGGGAGATTATTATCCCTTTTGACCCACTCACGGGCATGGCTCATGTTATTGCGCATCTTGCGGCGCCATTCTTGGAGCTTTTCCGATCGATCCTGTTTCACAAGTGTCTTGATTTCCTGATCTGCCCAATGCTCAATATCAAGGAGAGAAACAAAGTTTTTACCACGGACCAAAGGATGTTGCCATATGCGCCGCAACAACACGGCTGGAACTGAGGCCCCGGCTGCTTGTTGGACGTTGGCTTCTCTGACCCTTCCGAGCAGCTTTCTGGCCTTCAACTCTCGGCATGAAGCATGCTGTTTCAAGCGAAATATGGCTGGCTCAAGTTCTTTGATTTTCATAGGGCTGCCTTTTGCCCGGGCGTTAGCGGTGTGCCCATGGCTGAGGCTTCCGCTGCAAATTTGGTGGGCAGCATCGTATGAAGATTCAACGGCGGAGCAAAAAGTATTCCATTCTTCTTCGCTTGTCGTGTTCGGAGGCATGGGGACCTGTTGCCATGCCTTGGCCATGGCTTTGTCCCAATCCTTCTGGGGAATTTGCTCTGGTCGCAATAAACTGCGGGTGGGCACTTGTTTAAAGCTTTGCACACATTCCTGGCTGTATTGAAGATTAAAAGTTAAGGCTTTATGATCAGAAAAGACAGCTTCGGAAAAGGCAAGTTCATCTACCATGAAAGGGTGTGAAGACCAAATCCAATCAATGCATCTGTTACCTTCCCAC